AGGACCGCCTGAAGACAGTGTCTGCGGCATTGGCGATTTGTCTGAACATCGGAGTTGATCCCCCAGATGTGGTCAAGACAAACCCTACATCAAAGTTGGAATGCTGGGTGGATCCCACCTCGACCACTGGTGGAGGTCAGAACAAGATTATGGAACAGATCGGAAAGAAGCTACAGGAGCAATACGAGACCTTGAGTCTACGGACAAGATACAAGCAGTACTTGGATCCGTCGGTCGATGAAACAAAGAAGTTCTGCATATCGCTTCGCCGGAATGCCAAGGACGAGCGAGTGCTTCTACATTACAATGGACACGGTGTGCCGCTTCCAACTCAATCAGGTGAAATTTGGGTATTCAACAAGAATTACACCCAATACATCCCCGTGCCGCTATATGATCTGCAGTCGTGGCTGGCTGGCCCCAGTCTTTTCGTCTTTGATGTCTCGCACGCGGGTAACATTGTCCAGAATTTCCACACCTTTGTCGAGAAACATGAGAAAGAGAATATCGAAGCCAAAAAGCGAGACCCGAATGCCATCGTCCAGAACTATGGAGACTGCATTCTCCTCGCTGCATGCCAGAAAACCGAGTCTCTCCCAACAAATCCCGACTTGCCTGCGGACTTGTTCACCTGTTGTTTGACGACACCAATCGAAATCGCTCTCCGCTTCTTCATTTTGCAGAATCCTCTCCGAACTGACATTTCCATTGACGATTTCCGAGTTCCCGGTCGACTGCAGGATCGTCGAAGTCCCCTTGGAGAGCTGAACTGGATATTCACCGCTATCACTGATACAATTGCATGGAATACTCTGCCTCGGGCATTGTTCAAGAAGCTTTTCCGGCAGGATCTGATGGTTGCGGCTCTGTTCCGCAACTTTTTGCTAAGCGAACGTATTATGCGGACCTACAAATGCCATCCAATCTCTTCACCCGAACTTCCGGAGACCCATCATCACCCGCTATGGAAAAGCTGGGACCTTGCTGTCGAGATGGTGTTGTCTCAGCTTCCTGCTCTCATTGATCATGAGGAGGGACGTCGCCAGTACGAGTACCAGCATTCTACTTTCTTCGCTGAGCAGCTCACTGCCTTTGAGGTGTATCTTTCGTCCGGTCCCACAGAAAAGAATCCACCTGACCAACTTCCCATTGTCTTGCAAGTCCTTCTAAGCCAGGCACATCGTTTGCGGGCTTTGATTCTGCTGAGCAAGTTCCTGGATCTCGGTCCATGGGCTGTCCACCTTGCATTGAGCATCGGTATCTTCCCATATGTCGTCAAATTGTTGCAATCAGCGGCCCAAGAATTGAAACCTGTCATGGTTTTCATCTGGGCCAGAATCATGGCAGTTGACCACACTGTCCAAAACGATCTCCTCAAGGATAACGGGATTCACTATTTTATCTCAATCCTCAATCCCTCGTCACCAATCCCCGTCGGCAACGCCAGCGAGCATCGTGCTATGTGTGCTTTCATAGTCTCCATCTTCTGCAAGAACTACCCACAGGGCCAAAATGTCTGCCTCTCTAATGAGCTGTTCGACTCGTCACTCAGACATCTAGGCGACGTGGAAAACCCTTTGCTGCGACAGTGGTCATGTCTGTGTCTTAGCATGCTCTGGTGTGACTTCCCAGAAGCAAAGTGGATGGGCATTCGATGCGCAGCTCCTGCGAGACTTTGCGAGTTGAATTTCGACCCCGTTCCCGAGGTTCGTGCTGCGATGTTGTACGCCGTCACGACCTTCCTGGGAATTCCTGACCTGACAGACCAAGTGGCCCAGATTGAGGAAACTCTGGCTCTGGCTGTCTTGCCCATGTCCTCAGATGGCAGTGTGGTTGTCAGAAAGGAACTTCTAGTATTCTTCTCAACATTTGTCAGACGACACCAAAACAAATTCTTGGTCGCGGCCTTTGAAGAACTTCAAGACGAGAAGCGGTCATTGCGCCAGCGCTTCGAGAACGAAAACCCCCAGTCGACCTACAACGAGAGCCAGAATGGAACAGTATCCTCTACTCCAAAGCTATCTCGCAACACCACCTTTGGGACTATCTGGAAACAACTCCTGGCTCTCTCGGTTGATCCTCACCCTGATATTGGCCAGGATGCTGCCATCATTGTTGATTACATCCACCTATCATTGCTGGAATCTCCCATGGCTCCTCTGACTAACAAGCTTCAAAACGAAATCCTGGATCTCGCAGGGCTCTTGAAACTTCAAACCCACGAGCGTTCGGAGACGAAGAAGGTGGCACCGCCCTCAACACCTCCCTCATCATCGGCAGCAACTTCTAAACAAGAAGGATATCTTTCGATCGGGTTCAAACGAACAGCCAGCGTCGCTGCTTCCCTCAAGAACCTCGCTTTTGGAAACACAACAAATGGGGATCCATCAGACAACTCGAACCCCCCCTCACCCTCAACAGGTAGGATGCCCATCACCCCTCGCGGCCGTGCTCCTCCCGAATGGACTCGACCCCCAGAAGGCAATGACCACATTGCTCCTGCGACAGCATATCACCAGGCGCCTTCACCTACATCACGAGGCTTTGAACCCAAAGGCGCTGGTGCCGTCCCAGTCATCCCCCTCAAGAGCCGATTCCTTGACTGGTCAACCGAGGTAAGTTTAGATCTCTTTTGAAGGACCCGTCTACCGCCTGCATTACCCAGTTACTAATTGTTCCCAAGTACTTCCGCGAACCCCAGATGAAGCCCAACGAGCCGGACGAGCCTGGTAGCTCGGACTATAACCAACGCCTCTGGAGACGCAGCCGCAATGAGAAGATTATTGCCGAAACACAGCCCCTTAAAGGAAAGGCAGGAGCAAGCCGGTGGGATAATTCTCTTGCTCTGTTGTCAAATGGTAGTCAGCCCATGAAGATGTGCTTCCATCAATTCGAGGATCACCTTGCTGTGGCAGATGATCGAGACACCATTGCGTAAGTTCCTCACAAAAGACCCCTGTTGAACACCGTTTGACCATGCATCCATTTAGAATTTGGGACTGGCAGGGCCAAAGACGTCTTAATCAATTCTCCAATGGCAACCCTGCAGGATCAAAGATCAACGAGGTCCGATACATCAATGAGGATGACCAGGCACTTCTCATGACTGGCTCTTCGGATGGTGTTATCAAGCTATTCCGCCACTATGAGTCTAACAGAGATATTGAGGTAGTCACGGCCTTCAGGGCGCTTCCTGAGTTGATTCCCAGCAATCGAAATGCTGGTCTTGTGCTTGATTGGCAGCAGGGACAAGGCAAAGCTCTGGTTGCAGGTGACGTAAAGGTTATTCGTGTTTGGAATGCTGCCACCGAAGTGTGCACAAACGTAAGTCTTTCTTCCCAAGTTTACAGCCCATCTCACCACTCACAAATATGAATTTACAGGACATTCCTGCACGCTCTGGCTCTTGCATAACATCCTTGACCTCTGACCAGGTCGCGGGCAACATCTTTGTCGCAGGATTCGGCGATGGTGCCGTTCGAGTCTTCGATCAGCGGTTGAAGCCCACCACCTCCATGGTCAAGGTCTGGCGCGAGCACAAACAATGGATTACCAATGTTCATATGCAGCGTGGTGGACTGCGAGAACTAATCTCGGGCGGCCGCAATGGCGAGATTCGCCTTTGGGATCTACGGATGGATGATCCAATATCCACCATCTACGCCACCAAAGATACCCTACGAACCTTGAGTGTGCATGAACACGCCCCCGTTTTTAGCATGTAAGTCATACTCATTTCCTTCCGCGGCGCTTTGTTCGTTTGAACTAACCCAAATTCCAGGGGCACGAACCGCCATGAGGTCAAGACCTTCAATGTGGATGGCACCTACCTGTCCACATTCGAGCCATACTCAAGCTTCCTCCATCACAACCGCTCTTCACCTATCGCCAGCACTGCTTTCCATCCCCACCGGACTGTGCTTGCATGTGCCGCGCTGAATGATCACCACGTCAATCTCGTGTCCTGCTAATTCTAGCCGAACTCGTAACTTCACGATACGCCCGCCGATTCTGGTACTTTTTTCGGCCTCCTGTTTTAACCTTCTTCTACTGTAATATGCACTTGCATGCCCGGCATGCAAATTTACATGGCGTCTTGGCGATGAGTTGATCCCCCATACATTGATGGCTCTGCGTTGTTTCTTCCTGCTAGCTTCACTACCCCTTTATTTAGTGGCGGTTTCCTTGTTTTATTCACTTTATGCGAGACAATCAATGGGCCCGTCTTGGGTGTTTGGCTCTTCTTCTTCTTATTTTCTCTTGCTAACTTTACCTGAACGTCCCGTGTTGGGCAGTGTTCAGGAGTACAAGTTACATTCTCATGGGGCTATTCTTATTACTTCTACTTGTGTTGGTGATTTTAAGATAATTGCACTAATTATCGGCACAAATTCTAATAAAGTCCCTTTGTCACCTTATCGCTACTATTAAACACCTTTTTGTCTTTGCGACCAAATAGGGGCAAAGCTGGTCACGTATGTGCATGACCCCAGTTTGTGGCCTGTGTATATATAAAACGAGCATAGATTGACCATTCTCATTCTGCGGACATTGTCAACTGCAGCCTAAAGATATTCGCTAGATCTTATTCTGCAAACTAAGATTTCTACTCTTCAAACACAAGAATTGGATTCTATCCCCTACAGTCTCCAAATGGCATTCCGGGCCCAACTTTCATACCCTGCTCTCTACGTTCAAAATCACGCGAGCAAACAAGCATGAATCGGCATATACGACAAGACAGAGCGATATGAAGATATGTTTAAACACTACAGAAAATGTATATTGCAAACTAGAGACGTTTATTGAAGGTTTTATCTAAATATTCTGAATGAAATGCATCGTCAAATTTCCAAGGTTGTTGTTTACTTGAAGTATACAACATGCTGAGTAACCGCGCCCGGAGCTCCGAGGTCCCGAGATCCAGTACGTCATCCAGTTGAGATCTCCTACAACATTCCCTCAAAGCGACCTGAAAAGAGCCGGCAAACCCTATTAAAATGGACTCAAATGAAAAGACAGTAAGATCCCTTTGGAAGTATCCCCACCGTATTTTTGCCATATTGACATTCAGCAAGAAAAAGATCGTCGGCGCAGACGAGTATCAGCAAGCTCGGGCGCATCTTCTCAAGCAAGAAAAGGAAGCTACACAGTTATTGCAGAGACTAGCCGCCTCACGCCGAGAACTTCCTATGGTGCAAATCTCCAACCCGGATCGATTCAAATTCGACACTCCCGAAGGAGAAAAAAGCCTTGTAGATATCTTCGATGGCCGTAACCAACTGATCATCTACCACTTCATGCTTGGCCCGGGCGAGCATGCTGGCTGTGTGGGGTGTTCCTTTTGCATGGACCATATTCCCAATCTCGAGCATCTGCGCAGCCGAAATACCTCGTTTGCCGCTGTCGCTACTGCCCCATTGTCTGAGATCACTACATATCGAAAGAGGATGGGATGGAAATTTCCTTTTTACAGTTCTGCTAAAACTCATCAGGCATGGAAAGAGGCTGAGCAGGCGGGCGAGACTGTTACTTGGAAGCCTGGCAATGGGTATTTCGGTCTCTGCGTTTTTATCAAAGATGGTGATCGCGTCTTCCATACTTATGACACTACCGCTCGGGGGGTGGAAAGTATTCTGTCGACATACCATCTGTTGGATATGACGCCGATGGGTCGGCAGGAGGTCGGCAATGGGATGAATGGATTTAGTCTTCATGATGAGTATGGAGTCGAAAAGTAAAGCTTGGATTGACGGAGCTAAAGCTAGCTACAAAAGTTCGATTGATTTGCATCGTGATAGTCTTCGGGGCGGGAATGATATTGTATGACAATCAGGCGATTGCTCGAAAGATGTCAGATCCTAATTAAAAACACCTCAATTAGCCATGGATCATGGATGTAAGGGACCTTATGATTTTGCAAATTCAAAGAGACCACAATTTCAGCAACTCAGAGACCAATATGAAACAATGTAGATTGACACAGTTTCTACAATTTCTTTGCAGAAAGGGAAGTGGTCGATCATCACCGGAGCTTTATTGTGGAGGGATGCAGGAGGGAGAGCAGGGGTAACATACCCCGGTCCAGTCGGCGCGTTCCCGCTAGTGGATGGGTGGCGGCGGGAACTATGGCGCCGGAAGTAATATCCTGAAATCTGATATTGGTCCCCCGTGCCTCAATAGATCGTTCTTGCAGCTGCAGCGAGTTAGGTTCTGCGAAAGAAAAACGTGTTGTTCTTTGGTGGCTGTGGTCGCTGTCTGTTAGTAATAGTCACAGTTGAAGAGAGAAATGAATGGCTTCCTGAACTCCCATGAATTGAGCTGGAATTTGCCAAAATCGTGGTGAATTCCAGTCCATCCAGGGAGACACAGAATTTTAGTTATTGTTACCCTGAGTGATCTTAAATACTGATCGCTGGGCAGGGGCTAGGGCATCGGCCCTACCCCTTATGATCAGAATTTTATATGGAGCACATCTATATGGAGCACATCGTCATTGATGGAGCCGTGCGAAATTAGCTCCACCTCCCACGGGAACTATGACATGGGACACCACATTTATATCTCGGTAGCTGTTTTAGTCCAGGAACAGATTAAGCGAAATTTCAAGGCTGAAATGAACGAAGTCAGAACTCCATAGATCTTCAGTAGATATTTCGGCCCACGCAATGTCTCACTATGTATTTGCTTCACTCATAACAAATTGCGCTCCGTATGTTCAAGGCACTGCTGCGTTTCTTTGACATCGAACCCGAATTTCTTGTCAACAATGGCCAGAGAGTTGACTTCATTAACGACCAGATGATGATGTCGATAAAAACCAACCCGCTTAGTTTGAATGAGTTCCCTTACTTTAACTCATATTTTTAGACCCCGCTATGTGAAGTACATGTATATCATTTCTAGTAGCTGTATATGACTCGCTAGTGGTCGAGGCATTTCAAGTATTGATCATGGTTTAAGACAAGCTAGAGAGACTGAGCTCTTTACCTTCGGTAGATCTCCGTGAAAAGTTTAGTTCATAAAGAAACATTCCTTTAACAGCAAGCGGGAAAAAGTTCATATGTGCTCACTAGGGGATCGTAGTGGGTGAGATTAGCTGATCTGTTTCTTCTCTGTCTTCTTTGGTACTGCTTTTGCGGCTTCGAGTATTGCGGGCCCCTATATATCTGATGTTCTCATCTAACTAGTGCATTAGACCCTTAAGACCTGGAACATTTATTGTAAAACCATTTAGTCCTCTTTCAGATTGCGCTTGTTGTGAAAACAAATATATGTAAGAGAATATCGTCGTACTAAATTTACAGAACTCCTACCTCTTTCTTTTGTTTGCAAAGCCTCTCCGACCTACTGAAGTGATGGCTCGCTTTCCTGTAAAGGTTCGCCGCCTTCATCTCTCTTTCTTCTATCACCATCCCTAAACTATTAGCTACGCGATGCACATGAGACAATATCAACAAAATAAGAAGAAAACAGAGATGCTCTCGTCTTCGGTTGACATTGTACTTGCATGAACAGCATAAGCGAGCCAAAGCCGAAAGCTAGTTATAATGGTCGAAGAGGCGGCGTAAGGGCATAAGTCGCCAATTCAGACCATCAAAGACACAATGCGGTAGCTTCAGAGGACACCACGAAGGCGACGGCATAAAGTAGTTTCTGGTATGTCAAAACGACGCGCTATATCGCGAATTGAGGTAGTTTCTTGCTTCTTAATAGCCTGAATAGCTAATAAGACCCTACCCTCTTGCTCTTCTCGTTTTTGAGGGGATTGAGTACGAATTGGTGGCATGGTCGGTGGTTGAAGAAGGAAGGTCTAATTAATTGACGCGTTTTGTGGTAGGTGCGCACTCGTTATTGAATTCCCTTGAATGGCGATATTGATGCCTTGAATTCGAGGCATAAATTGGAACTTTGAGCTTTGTCAGCGCTCAACGTCATTCGAAATTCCCGAGGTCAATCTGGAGAACTTCAACCAACCAAGCTCCCCCGGAGCTCTCTTTCACCATACCAAGCTTCTCTGCCAGTCGAGATCCTCACAATGAGCTCCAACTATGCTTCGCCACAGGCAGGCTCGTCCCCCAACAACAATTCCTCTTCGGACTCCTCGCAAGCATTTGCCGACAATAACCCCGCTCTGGCAAGAAACAACAAGCTCCTCCTCCGGCCGGAGCTGGTGAAGAGGCCAGATTTTTTCACACTGTACTTTGGGTTCTTTGGTGAAGCTGCCTGGACACGGGAACTGGGTAGGATGATCACAAGTCGAGTGGAGAATCAGTATGTCTTGACAGCGCGATATCCAACCCAAGAGGAAATGGATGCGCATCTAGAGCATGGGTCACGGACGCTCTACTACCGACGCATCGGATTGCCCGTGAGCGCATTTGCAGGTACCGCGTACTTCTATAACAAAGCCCGCAAATCGCCCGACTTCCCGGCCAACCCTACACCCAAGTCTCTCTTTGATACGGCGCGCCATATGTGGAAATTCGACATAAACGACTTCAGAAGGACAGTTCCGTCGACTGCATTCAAGATGCTTTTCATCACTACCGCTGCCGTCATGGCATCAGGCGGCTGGGCTGTCTCTTCCGATGCCGTGTCCACCTTGGGCGATCCACGCATGAAGAAATTCCTCGAAGATATGCGAAAATCTGATCCCGAGGAAGTACGCAAGCGCAAGATTCAAGCGGCGAACGAGAGAGTTCGCAGCATACGCCAGGGCGGCGCGGATATCGGCACTCAGATACGACAGCAGAATGGACAGGGCGTGTCCTCAGGGGGCGATGGTTATTCTGAGGACAACTACGACTCCCCAGAAGCACCGGCTCCTCCCTCTGATAATGATGCATACAACAGCACCTCGATGAGCTCCCAGTCTTCATACGAGCCGCAAGCTGAACCAGAACAGCGCATCAACACTGGTGCAGTTTGGGCACGGGGCAGAGGCTCCCAACCTGAATCGGAATCAGCATTGGATTTCATGGACGAAGACGACGCTAGCCCTACGGCTGTGGAATACCGCAATTCCAACATTGACGGCTCACCGTCCGGTAGCACTTGGGATCGCATCAGACGACAGAATGCGGGAGGACGCTCGCCTCGCCAGCCGCCTGGTATGACCAACCCCTATGCTGAGTACTCGGATCATAACCGGGAACAATACGGCTCTGGTCAAACGAGCGAGAAGGACCGAGCACAGGCAGATTTCGATCGGATGATTGATGCGGAGCGGAATGCCGGCAACGGTGGATCCTCTCGTAACCGAGGCTGGTGATCTTGATGGTCTAATTGGTCTTTACTCTTTTATGTTTATTCTTTATGTACAACTACATCATCTCCAGCACTTGGCGCGTTATTCTATATCAAAGCATGTTGAATTCAGAACACCTGACACCGTCATCATTAGCCTTTGCAGGCATATATGTTTAGATATGGTTGCCCTGATAAGAAATAAATACCGACAAAGGTGAGATGATTATAGACATCGCTGTCTGCAATTTTGAAAAAAGAAAGTGTATCAAAGTCAAAGACTAGGAGAGGTGTGCATACATCAACGGCAGGTATAGAGTCGAAGATGTGAGATGAGATTTGAATATATGATAACTTGGTGACGGCATCTAAAAGAAGCCAACAATAACAACAAAGCAATGCGAGAGAGGGTATGGGCCCCAGAACAAAAGTGGGCAATAGCATAAAGACAATCTTAAACGGGGGCAGTAAAAACATGACGCGTGATGCGTAGAAAGCCAGGACGTTACAAATTCATGATTAGAGCAAAAAGCAAAGGCAAAAAAAAACAAAAACATAAGTAGATCGAAGGGTAGAGGGACAGAGGAAACATCTCTCAGACGAAGTTTTGACCAGGCGAGACATAGCTCTGACTCGGAAGGACATAATTCTGATTCGAGGCCACACCATGCGAATGCATACTCTCATATGGCATATCCGACTCCGCAGCCTGCGACCAAGGCTCAACGCTGCGACTAGCAGTACTTCGCATACGAGTCAAGCTCCTTAACTTGTTGGTGAAGCTCTCGTTCGAGCTCCTGTTCCGGCGATGGTCAAAGGACATACGCCGATTCCCAGATTGAGGACCAACGCTCTGTGTATGGACATTGAAAGCCGGGGCAGCAGTCATAGCCCGCGGAAGGAGACGACCAAGGTCTTCATTGTTGTCGATGGCGATGTCGATTGTGGCGGAGGACTCTCGCGGTGAGATGGGGTCCGCAGAGATTGGGAATGGAGGAGGTGGAGGTGGTGTATTGAGATGCTGCAATTCTGGAAGGATTGGCGGCGGCGGTGGTGGAGGAGGGATACTGTCGTAGTTTACCGAGGGTCCTCGCTGCATTGCGTGTTCAATTGTCTCCTCGATGCTTACAGTGAGGTTGGGGGAGGTGCCTGAGATGAAGCCGCCTGAGCTGGTGCGGCGGTGGCCTGTGTTACGGCTTCGGCTGCTAGATCTGCTTCTCGGGAGGGCTGGGTTGAAGCGTGGGTGCATGGGGAGGTCGGTGGGCATTGGTGCTGTGCCACTAAACTGGCTCTCTGGGACGGGAACAGACATTGATCGACCAATTCTTTCGGCGTCACCTTGGTACCGGGCGTTGCTGAGAAAAAGGTTGGTGTCTGAAGGAATGGTCGGCACGGAAGGAGGTCGTTCTTCATCTTGTCCGTTTCCTCCGTACTTGGGATGGCGCATAGCTCGGGGAGTTGCTGGGAGCCCAACTGGCATACCGGAGCGTGAAGAGTTGGAGTCCGAGCTGCTTGGATAGTCGGGGGATGGCTTGCTCTGGGTCACTTTATTTCGAGATGGAGCTCGTGGAAAGTACGAGTTCCCAGCGGAGAACGGTGGAGGGCTTTCGATGGGACTTCTGATGCTTTGGAGCTCGCCCGGGAAGGGAATGTTTGGTGCCGATGGGTTGCGCGCAAGAGATAGCCTCCGAGCTTCTAGTTCAGCAGCTGCAAACTCTCTCCTCTTTCTCTCTGCCACACTGACGAATGGCGTTGTTGGGGATACAATATCCTGGAAGTCATTCACAGTTGAGCTGGGCTGTCCGTTTGGAAATTCACTGAAAGGTGGCTCTTGACCAAAGACCTTGCTCGACAATAACTGTACCGGCTCAGAGGCCTGTACCCAAGGATCAGCCTTAGGCCCTTGTTGGATCTCAGAAAGACTCTGGGATGTTTTGTGTCTGGATTCCGGGGACCCATCTCTTCTGGCACTTGCAGCACTTGTGCCTCTTTCGGCACGACGACGACTGGCACTGCGATGGCGAGACCTCAGCCTCTGTTGGTTGCTCGCAACAATTCTCAGGGGATCATCTGCACCGTCAGTCTGTGAGGGCTCATCCCGGGGGAAAGACATGGGAAGAGGTGACGAGGGCGACCGAGTGCTAGATCCTTGTCGATCGTTGCTGCGGCCACGGTTTAACGCATCTCGCTTGTCTGCAATACGGCTTGCTGTGTGTCGGCTAGAAGATCTCTGGCGGGCTCGTGAGTCCGGCCGTCTCATCTTGCTGGAACTCCTAGTGCGAGACTTCGACTTCGGCTTGGTTACAGGCTTTTCAGACTCGCCGGCGCCATAGCGGGCCAATTCTTCAGGAGACATAGGCACCGGTGAAGAGGGAGAGCGTTTAGCAGGCTGGATATAGCGACGATCATTCCGGCCGCGAGTATCCCTGGAGGCATCTCGTGATTGGTGAATGCGCGAGCTCTGGCTGGCCGCATCGTCTGTATTTCGTCTTCCGCGACCGGGTGTATGAGGGCCACGGTACTTGCGTGCATGGAAGTTCGCTTCGTCGAGGCTGCTGATGTATTGATCAATGCTTCGACCGCTGACGCTTGGACTCTTGGCGGAAGTGAAACTATTCGTCGTTGAAGCCGTGCTCCTGGCGCTAGGAACTAAATCTGAGCGATCTTGGTGATTTCGTTCGCTATCTAGTAGCTCAATTTGAAGGCCGTCTGGTTTGCGATCCCGAGAACCATTGCGGTGGTCATCGTTGGTGAGAGCATCAAACACACCGGCTGCTGGAGATGGAAGACCCTTAATGGTCGCAAACTTGTCTGTTCCTTGCACAGCAGTCTGGGGACTGGGTTTCAGAGAGTCATTTTTGGGGTCGTATCTCGCAGATGGTAGAGTTAAAAGACCACTGTCACTCTCCCTTTCATCTTGACTGTGCTCGTGACCACTCGTCTCGTTCTCTGAAGTTGATCCGTACTCATTTTGGCTGTTAGAATTAGACCGTGAGAACGTGGGAGGATGCACATCCACTGGTGTCTCTCCGATTGAGGGCAGACGACGTCGGTTGAAAGAAGGGGTATTAGTTCGAGAGGTCATTGCATGGTTCAGGCTTTGGATATTGTTGAGTTTCCATGATCCGAGACCACCAGGAGACAGTGCGGAATCTGGAACGGCAGATTCAGCGATTGGCGTGATCCCCGGAGCATTAGTTGGGGTACGATCATCAGACTTCAACCCAGGGAAACGGAAGCGTTGGTTAGGTTGCGCGTCGAACGAGGTAATGAGCTTCAGCGCTGGAGTCTTCGCCGCAGGCTTTTGGTTGGATGCGGATCTTGGTCGAATTGGTGGAGGCATCATGCTTGATATATTGGCCTGTGATGGCTCTGGCGAAGCAAGAGGGGATTTCGCTCGAATCATCTCCGCAAAGGATGCGGCTTGTTGTGCAGACGGCGATGCCCATGGCTCAGATGGCTCCACGCCGGTACACATGAAACAACGAATTGCAAGCTGCTGTTGGGAATGGGTGACGACATGCTCTCCCCATCGACGAACAAGATATGACTGTCGCTGCCAGTCGGATGGCATAAGTAGACATGTCATCAGGATAGCTTCCATGAAATGATTCCGAGAAACATAGACTTCAATTGCATCATTGCTGTCACCGAGTCCAAGCAAAATAGCAGCTGAAGTGTGCGTGTCTCCAACCTCGAGCAGCTTCTGGACAAATGCTTGTCCAACTTTGTTCCCTTGGGCTTGACCACTCATTTGGCTCAAAGCAAGAAGCATCCAGTCAGATGTTGTTACAGGTCCTGGAGCAACCATGGAAGCCATTTGTTCTGTATCAGTTTCACCAAGCCATTGTGCCAAAAGAATGGCACTCTGGCTTCCTACAGCGTGGCGGCTCACTTTATGACGGATTAGCACCTGAATGTCCCACGTGGAGCATATTAACTTACACTCGTCCCTGATCAGATCTTCGATATCGCCATCCCAACCAAACACCACGCTTAACATCTGCTGCCTCAAATCATCGGAAGTTAGATCGGGATCATCAAGAGGAGGTTGCTGCTTGTAAGGCACATCATTGAGACGAGCACGAGTAAACGGAAACAAATCAACAATATTCTTCTCAGCGGGACTGAGGTGGACCTCATTCCGCAACCGCGATGCCGCCCTTGAACTTCTCACAGACGACATAGAGACAGAAGATGGGTACGCAAACGAAGCAGCAGATGCAGAGGGCTGCGGTGTATCACCACCAGCCGATGTCAACGAGAAAGTAGTGGCACTCTGGCCAGAACGACTGGGCGGAGAAAACGGCCTGGTGTTATACTTCGAAGATGACGCCTTGGAGCTGACCGATTCTGTCCTGCTCCGGGAGGAGGCAGGGCTTGTCAGATCTGCTCGTTGTCTGATACTTTCAATTCCACTTGCATCGAACGGTGTGCGCCGCACGGCATTTGTTGGTTCTCGAATATCAGGAGGGTCCTGGAGGCGGCGTGGTGACATTGTTCTTGATCTGTTATTCTCTGATGTGCCAGATCGAGATCCGACTGGTAGGTGCTGCACGTTTGCAACCATTGCTGGGTTTTCCAAATCATACTGCTGTACTGAGTTCTGGGGACCGAGTGTGAAGAGAGTTGCGGTTGGGCCGTAGTTTGCAAGCCCTCGAACGCCGTCGATTGTGGGAATTGGGTCGTAAGTAACGTGTTTGGTTCGGACGTCCCAAGACCATGTTTCTCTTATATCGAATGTTAGCAACTTATCAATACTTCAATTGGATCAGGGCTGCCCACCCTTCCAGATATTGAACTAGTCTTCCATTCTTCGACCATCCCATCCATTTAGGGTCAGCAGAGCTTGAATCAGATCGTTTCAATACCCTAATAACTCGGGGTGACTCTTTTCCTGGTGGTTTTGCCACGCTCCAGACTCTAAGATCGCCATTAGAGGATTGAGTTGCTAGCATATCTGACTTTTGCTTCGACGAGGATGCATGCCAAGCCAGAGATATAATTGGAGATGGTCCTCGCGAAGTAGTCAGAGTGTGAAGGATGGTGAATTGAGGAAGTAGAGTTGCGATCAAAATTGATCCATTTTGATATCTAGACTAGTTAGCATAATGATACCACTCAATTGCAGCTAACATACCCAATTGCATGAGTACGACAATCTGTAGCTGGTGCCATAGCAGTAATCGGGTCAAAAATGGTGCGCGCAGAGATATGTTCTTGTGTTGGAGGTTCGAACAGAATAACTTCGCCTTTCCCGTTTCCTATACTTCCGGTAAGCAAGTAAATCCAACCGCTTAAATTTATATATCTCTCACCAAATGCGACATTGCCATTGCGCATCCATGAAGCCACTCGCAAATGCTCAAACGAGGCAAATCGGGCAATTTCGGTCCCCGTGAAAATATCCCAGACAATCGCAGTCTGTCCTACATCGTAACTGACGACCAATCTCCCCGCACCCCGCTCGCTGACATTATCCACCGAAATGAAATCAATGTTTTCCTGGTGACTCTGGAACCGGCGTTCAATTGCCAATGTGTCATGGTGAAGGCATAGGATTGTTGAGCCCTGGGCATATAGAAATAGCGACGCTGTGGAAGCACAAGGTTCGAACCGAGGTAGGGCAGGCTGCAGCGGAGGAGCCATTGCTTTGGCGGTCCTCGAGGGTCGCGATTCTGTCACCAAGGTCCTGTTCCATGTCAATTCAACCATTGATTTGGTGTATGTAGCAAATGGGGGATTGGATTGAGTATAATGGTTCAAGCTGACAAAGCTTTCAACTCCCAAGTTGACAAAAGTCCGGGGAGTGATAAGCCCGTAGAGCCCAAGAAACAAGAAAAGAGATAAAAAGAAATCCACTGACCTGATCAGCTTATACCAGGTCGGTTTCTAATCGGTCACGACCCTGAGTCCGGTCAAGGGAAACGAAAGACGGGCCTTAGGGTAGTGCAAAGCACATCTGGATTGCTCAGGAAGCGGGAGGGAAATAAGCGCCTTGACAAGGGGAGGTGGGTAAGTATAAACGGGCTATCTCGAGGATCGAAGATCTGGGCCCTAATAAGGAAAATGTTGAGAGAGAAATAGGGCGAAAAAGAGATGTGGCCGTCGCAGAACAGGGGGGAATAAAATAAAGATAATATCAGTGACACTCAGAATAAAATAACTCGCTTGCACGTTCATCACATAGATTAACGTGATGGAGGGGCTTAAGTTTGTGACAGGCCGGTGTGGAGAGGAAAAAGGACCAGGGTTGAATCCGTCTACATGCGATTATACATATAAGCAGGCGCCACTGCCCGTGGATCCAGGAGAGAAGGCGCATGCGTAGGACAGGGAAAAAGAAAAGGCTGTGCATTTGCAGGGCAAAGAAAAAGAGGGGAGTTTAGTCGATCAGAAGGAGCAATGGTTGTTGGCGCTGGGGTATTCTGCTCGGCGCTTCATTTCCTGACTGACCATACATTTGTCCCGTCCTAAGATGATGGGACAACCCGTTAGCCGTGTCCTAAGATCGAGTCCAGTATTGACCATATTATTAGCGGAGACGGTGAGATCGAGCCTTTTTGGTGGCTGGGTTGCATGGCTCTGGTGCTGCGTGAGTGCACCAACGAGCATGCAGAAACGACAGGAAGTCAAGAGTTAGCCTGCTTAGATCGATGCAGAAGGATCCCCCGAATCACAGGCTGGTATCAGCATCAACATAGTGGGTCTCGTGAAGAAAATGACCCTTGTCTTCTGCATGGAGATCACCAAGTACTCTATAGTTCTATAGTTTTCTTTTCTTTCCCTCGAAAGATAATACTTCCCCTGCAAGTAACCGGCTTTGCACACATGAAATAATATCAGAATTGTGATTTCCGAGACAGATGTGATTGGGATCCGTGCAGTTGTTGTCAAGCTGCAGCTCTATCACTTCGGCCGCCAATCACCGTCCATCACCGTTGATCCCCTCGGCGCCTACACCACACCACTCAACCAATGTCTGCACGTATCCTGCCTGTCCCTATGGCTTGTATTTACTTATTTCACTGCCTTGAATTTGCCTCAGCCTATCGAAGACCCATTTAAACTCTGGGAGAAGACCACGAGTTTCACCTGCGAACTAGTGTTTCCGATGCCTAACGACGATCTCGAGGCTTCTTTGTCCCACAGTCCGGTATTTTGTGATGTGACTACTATATATCTGCTGCAGAGTTGGGTCTGTATCCTTGCAAACAGAGGACATATGTCAGTTCTGGAGCTTGGGCCCTGGGCCCCTGTGATTGCATCGGGGACAAACACGGCGACAAACACGGCAGAGTTTCCAATCGGGCTAGGGAAAAGAGATTATTATTGAGGTGAGAATATCCGAGATCCATATCTCACTACTTCCTATGTTGGGTATGAGACACGAGTCACAATCTAGCTCCAAGGCTCTATACTATGTTATGTTAGGAGCCAGGATGCTTTGAACCAACGTTGGGGTCGGAACATATTTAATAGGTCAATATCTAATGCAAATTACAGAGGAATAAATATATAGAGAGTTTATACTAATCGCTTCTATTCCTCATATTCGGCCATGTCCGCATCGCCTCCGTATCATCTGATCGCGGGGCTTATCTTCCCCGGATTACTGAGTCATTGGAACTCACCTGGACCAACACCTCCAGACCAACATAGTGCGCAGACATCAGCTACACTCTATAAATTCCTTACTATACCACTCGACCTTCGACCCTCGACCCGGTGACAACTCCAGCATGCCCAACGAAACAATTGTGGTAATAGGGTGAGCACTCCCTCGCCAACCCAAACCCCCGAGAAAAAAGGACAACGACAAAACCACCTTCAACATAAAACAGTAGCAGCTGACATCTCCGACCCGCAAATAGTGCGGGCGTAATCGGCCTAACAACAGCCCTACGCATCCAACAAAACCTATCACCGTCACAATCAATCCTCCTCGTAGCCCGCGACTTCCCATCAGACACCTCAGTCAACTACGCCTCACCCTGGGCCGGAGCGCACTATCGCCCAGTACCGGGTTCAACACATCAAGCACTCCGCGAAGCGAACCAAGCACAGCGCACCTATGAGTACATGAAGCGTGTTGCGGCCGACGAGCCCGGGTCTGGCGTTGCGTTCATTCGCGGTGTTGAGCATCTCGAGGCACCGCCGGCGGAGTATTTGGATCGGCAAAGTGTGGAGAATGTGTATTCGCATCTTGATGGGTTTCGGGCTTTGAGTGGTGGGGAGGTTCCCGATGGTGTTGTTTGGGGGGTGGAGTATGGGACTTATGTGGTTAACTCGCCTGTTTACTGTGCGCATTTGCTGCGCAAGTTTGTTCTTGGGGGTGGGGAGGTGAAAAAGTTTGAGCTTGTGAATTTGATGGAGGCTTTTAGTTTGGCGAGGGGCGTCAGAACTGTGGTTAATTGTTCTGGGATTGGGATTGGGGATCCTAGGGCGTTTATCATTCGAGGTACGTGGTTTATTTGAGGATGGGAGGTTTATATTCGATTGGTGTTGACTTCTACTTCTAGGACAAACTTGTCTTGTTCGGAACCCTGTCTCGGAGACTATCACTCGTCAGAATACTGATGGTTCCTGGTCCTTTTGTATCCCACGTCCTCTTGATGGTGGGACGATCATCGGAGGAACGAAGGAACCTCATAGCTGGGACCCGAATCCTTCACTAGAGACCAGGGAGCGGCTGCTTGCCAATGCGACTAAATGGTTCCCTTTTACTCCAGAAAGTGGGGGAAAGTTTGATGTCATTCGTGACATTGTTGGTCGGCGACCTGCTCGAGAGGGCGGGATGCGGATTGAAGTTGAAAAGATCACAGATGACCGGTATGTGGTCCACGGATATGGTGCTGGTGGTCGTGGATTTGAGCTCTCCCGTGGCGTCGCGGAAGATATGGCAGGGTTGATGCTCGAGAAGGGGCTGCTTCAGGCGAAGGCCTCACTGTAGATGACTGTGAAACTTTCGTAAATATTGCTCTCAATAGTGAGCATGACCATGAACATATGCCTATGGGCGATTACATGCTTTACCAGGGTAGTAGATTGAGCAGCGAGATATTCCAGGATAGAGAAGCATCAGGTTCATTATGAACGAACGAACTTTTTGCTACCGAGAAAATAGGTGCTATCAAAAGGTATATCGGCCGTGTAATCTTCCATCACATCAGACACAGGACCTAAAGCCTGTGCCCGTGGCCAGTCAGCCTTGACCTTTTTCCTCTACGCATGACATTTGTAGTACACACGTTTAGAGGTTGAAAGGACAAGGCAACCGACCGGGCCCTCAGTGATAGGCGAGGTGGCATACAAAGCGAGCAATTTGGGCAAGCAATTGTAGCGATCACTCGGCATCGTGATCCGACTCCATGGCAACCAAAAAACCGGGTTGTATCCGGATGTTGTCCGTAGAGAAGGATCCTGAAGGACCCACGAATCTTGTCTCGTGAGAAGGTGAAGGGGCTCAGCCCGCAGCTTCCGGTACAACCTCTGGCGTAGCCAGAGGTACTTCCGTCCCGTGCAACTTGGCAAGACGTTCCTCTTCCTTCTGTTCGCGCAATCTCTCGGTCTCTTTCCGCAGGACTGACAGGTTCCAAGTGCCGTTGTCGTCCTCGCCTTCTTCTGGCTCGCTATCCTCCTCGGCCCAGTTGCCGCTTTCGAAGAGCGTACGACCGGTGGCTTCCTTGGCCTGCTGTGCTTGTAATTCGGCAGCCTTCTTGTCCAGACGCTGCTTCTTCCATTGGGCGAAGGTTTCGGGGGTGACCGGTGTCAGTGTGCCGGTCAACTTGTGACGCTCTGAGTCCAGCCAGTCCTCGAGAGTGAGTGTGTTCAATGGTGATTTGTCCTTGAGGGCCTTTTCGGCGGCTCTCTGCTCCTTTGTCTTCAGGATGAATCTGTTCAATATTAGTAACGGACATGGTTTCCACAACGGTCGTATCGACACATACCCTGGCGGTAAACTGTGCTTGTACATGCACTTGTTTCCTCCATTCGGACAAGTCCAGAACCAACCATACTTCTGGTTCTCGACAGCCTCGATGAAGAACTTGCAGACCTTTTCGGTTGTTGTGCGAGGGTTTCCATGCTTGCTGAGAACAACACTGCGTAGCTTCTCCTCGTCCCAGTCGTCCATAGTATCCTTCTGCTTCTTCTCTTCCTCATCGACCTTCTCATCACGGGAGTCGGTGTACAGATCCTTCTTGGCTGCCTTGCGCTCAACGTTGGGGTCGTGAGAGAACTTGCACTTGCGGCCCTTCTCACAGTGACCCTGCTTGTAGTAGACACAAAGAACGGTCTTCGGGTCAACACCGAAGGGAACCTTCTGCACCTGCACGGGCTTGAACAGCTCGAGGGCATCCTTCTTCGCTTGTTCAGCAGCCTTCTTTTCAGCCTCACGCTGGGCCTGGGCAGCGGCCTTCTTCTTCTCTTCGGCGTTTTTGTTGCTTGCGGCTTGTGCTTGCAGCTGTTGCATCTGTTTCTTCACGGCACCACCTTTTTTCTGTTTTCGATGTTAGTTCGTGCCATGGCGGAAACGGGGTTGTCGCTGTTCGGTACGGCAGTCGAGCAGTCGAGCAGGGGGCTTTCAACACACGTTTTTCATTCCAAACGTCTGTTTTCAGTCGAGTTAGCCATCGCAGGTTCTAAAAATTAAATAAAAAGCGAAGAGGTTGGCATGTGAAATACGCACCTTATCCTCAACGGTCGCCTTCTTCTTCTTGGGCTGGTTGTCTGTCTTTTTGGGCGGCATGGTGACGGTTGTGCGGAAGTGACGTCGCTAATTCGAGTGTGAAAATCTGTAAAATGCGCTTGTTCAAGGTGCGCTATCGGTATAGAGATAAAGAAAAACTAATGCGACCCAATGAATGACGGGTTCTAAAAAGACGGTGTAATCGTTAACGCTGAAGGCAATGAGTGCCAGTGGTTGCAGAATGAAGGTTGGAGTGTGTGGCGCTGGACTGAGAATCTGCGATCGGCATCTTTGTCTCCTAATGTGGAAGGTGGGGATGATGTGTCATACAGGCCTGAGGCAGGAATTTCAGGTCACGTTTCGATGATGTTCTATACCAATTCAACAGATATTAACTATCACTTCCTTCCGGTTATTACTATATTGCTGCAGGTTACACCTATATAAACCATTAGGCTATGGCATGTCTACCATGTATCATGCGTGGAGGCTATTACCCAATATCTTTAAGACAAGACCAAGACTACGTTTTAGTGCACTATGGCATCTTCCGATCTTATAGCCCTTATATCTCGTCAAGAAACAGGGCGTGAGACTAATTATAAAGTTCAGTGCCGTCTGATAAGTTCTTTTGAAGCTCAAGCACTCGCAAACTATACAAATTCTTAAGAGACTTTGAGACAGCGACTGCTAGGAGGAGACTCGACCCTAGTTACGAACAGATCCTAACCGATGCTGTTTTATTTCTTAGTTCCATTATATGTTGAGTCTAGAAGTACTAAGAAAGCTTGAATACAGTGCAGACATTTGAGAAGATCATAGTCCCACCGCTGCTAGTAATGTGGCGCATTATATATCCTAGACAAAAAATACCGTTATCAATGGCCTCAACTTACGTATCTGTATATCCACACGATCAAATTGAACAACCAAAATGAAAGGCATAATATGCTCATGATAGGGAAAAACAGCACAACCCAAAGTAGTTCATTTGAGCGTCACATCTCTCTCCATCTTATTAAACGACATGAAATAGGAGCACTGCGTAGATTGGCATTCACATGCCACAAGGAATTCGAGCACTATCTCGCCAGTTAAAAAGCAATTGATGAACTTACCTACGTACCTCATATAATATATAGCTCCTTTCCAGTGGGCGGAGTTCTGAATGAATGTGTAAGGTTTAGTATATGTCCTAACATACCATACGTTCCCAGCCTAGAATAGAGTCAAAACCTGAAGGAGAATAGCATAAAAACACGAAGTCCGCTGTTTTAGCTGTCTAACATGGCTGTGTACAGTTTCCCAGGAGCATGGTGGCATCGAAACTTTGTCATTTTAAGCCATTTTCAAGGTGTGTTTCAATCGTCATATATAATTTTACTCAAGTTCAACAGGGCTGTGTGTCCATGGCGTCATAGCTTGAACTAAGCTCTTAAGAGAACGCACATAGGGCAAAGTAGATATAAAACAGACCCACGGAGGGTCAACTGAGGCGGTACGTCACGTCTCAGTTTCCACCTACGTGTTCAGCTCTTCTAGGATTGGGAATGTCTGCTTCTAGACTTATGCACTAAACTAACTCCTACGCGAGATATGGCCGTAATCACGCTGCATCAATCATTGGGATGTTTGACATGAGGTAGATCTACTTATAAAAACGTATATCCAACTGTTAGGCCAAGGTGGCCCCACAGTCAGTAAACGGAAGTCCCTAGCAAATCCATCTCCAGCATATCATCCTGTGGGCGTATTAAAGCACACTAATTTTTCGTTTCTGGTCGTAATGGAATTCACAGAAAGCAATTATCACGGATTTAAGAAACCTCCTGGATCTTGGTGGACTTCTCCGCATCCTCGAGCTCAGGGAGCTCATCCTATAGTTGTGTTAGCTCCTGATCAAGAACCAATATATGAGGGCAAACTTACGTCGTCCTCCTCGCCTTCAGCGCCGGCAGCACCGCCAGCCATACCCTGGAGGGCGCTCAGGTCGGGCATGCCACCGCCCATGCCACCCATGCCGGGCATACCGCCAAGCTTGGAGAAGTCGATGTTGCCGAGGCCACCACCGGCACCCGGGCCACCATCCTCACCACCGAAGCCACCGAAGTTGTTTGCGTAGTCATCCTCGCCAGCCTCGTCCTGCTCATCCTCATCCACCCACTGGATCCAGTTAGCTAACAGTCTATAACTAGAACGAACAGGGAATCATACCTTGTCAAAGTCGGTCTTCAGGAAGTGCATCTTCTGGGTGCTGGCGAGGAGACGGGGCCAGAAGTCCAGCTTGAGCTCTTTCTTGCGCAGAACGAGCTCGACATCACGGTCGGTGTGGTTGACTTTGCTGTTCTCGGGGTCGATCTCGGCAAAGAGGTCGAGGGAGACGCTGTATGTTACGCCCTTCCGGGAGGGGCCCTTGAAAGTAACATTCTTCTCGGTGATGCTGAGGCTGGCATCGGCCTTGGGAACATCGGGGGTCTTGATGTTGACGTAGAGGTAGTTGCGCTCAGGATCCGAGTCGGAGGAACGCTGAGCCCATGTAACTGAATATCAGATATTGCATGTCAGTCCATTTGACCCAAAATTAGACAATGAGACATTTCATTTCATGAAGCTTCAGAGTAATCCTGAAGAAACATAACGTCATAGGAAAATTCATGCAAAATGTGCACGCTCGTGTTTGAGCGGAGCGGGGAAGTAGAGCAGTCACAACGTACCTTCGGGAGTCAGGGTCTGGGACATTTTGAAAGAGGAATGTAGAAAGCGGTAAAGAAAGGATGAGGTGTGAAGGAGATTGAGGTGCTTTGTATCAGAGAGAGATGTGGAAGGATGATACTACAGTGAGCTCAAGCGCGCAGTGCCCAGTCGAGCCTACAACGTAGAAAGTACTGGAACTGACGTTTGTCTCGTTTGTTCCTCTTCTTGCCTGAGGCTGAGAACCCCTCAATGCTTATTATGTCAGAACTGACTCAGCCATTTCCTGGCCCGCTCCCGCGAAGAGTTGCCTCCGAGGTCATCTAATGATCAGAAGAGAGGGTCTGAGGGGCAATCTCGATCTCTGAAAAAGGTCCTGCTCTCCTGTATATGGTGGTCATAATTCGTCCCATTTCAAGAACCGCACACAAACCTGCCTATTGCCCCGCCTATCTCAATGACAATGCACCGAGCCTGAGCCTTATCGCTGATCATACCTACTGTGACCACTGTCCACGATTGGACTTCCCACCTATTCGAACTTGATAGTGTTGTCGCAAATACAAGCCATTTTATTGCAATCCTGCGATCATGGAGAGTCTCAAGGCGGTATTCTTTGGGCCTGACCCGCAAGCCCAGGTAAGCACATGAAGCGGCCGGTTCATATCTTGAATATGTCACTGACGCACGACTCTATTATCAGATGAGAAAATGCAATGCTTTAATACGCTCTAATACACGCCAACTTGACCGCGATCTAACCCGGTTGAAAACTGCGGATAGCCAGACTCGCCAGCACATCGTTAACGCCTCCAAACGGGCTCAGCGAAATCCGTCTCAGGCCACACAGGCCACCCGTGACACTAAGACCTTTGCGAGGGAGCTGGTGCGCATTCGAAAACAAACCGCTCGGTTGCATACCAGCCGCGCTCAACTACAGAGTGTCGGAATGCAAGTCAACGAAGCATTCTCGGCGCGTAAAATCCAAGGCAGCCTTCAAAAGTCGACTGGAATCATGAAGGATGTCAACACACTTGTCCGGCTACCGCAGTTATCTGCTACGATGCACCAGCTGTCTTCGGAGTTAGTCAGGGCAGGCATTATTGAAGAGATGGTCGATGATGCCATCACCGACCCGGCAATGTTCGAAGAGGAGGAGGAAGAAGCAGACTCGGAGATTGATAAGGTCTTGCAGGAAGTTCTACAGGGAAAGCTTTCCCAGGCACAACCCGTCACGGCACCCCCTGTGGACAAGATCTCAGAGCCGGAATCCCCACAAGCCGAGGAAGAGTTCGAGGATCAAGAAGCTACTCTGGAGCAAATGCGAGGCCGCTTGGAGGCTCTCAGGAGCTAGTTCATGTCTACCACTCAAGAGAGTTGCTTATCTTTTGTTACTTTGATTTATTGCTGGCGTTGGTTGCATTGCCGTTCTATACAATCTGTTTTCCAAGGCTGGGCCTACATATAATCGATTTATTCTTCCGCTGGATAGAAATCATAATAAAGCCATTCACGACGGCTAACAATGTTTCACACGAATCAAATAAAACACGTCAATAAACCCTAACATGCAGTACTGGGGGCTGAAGCAGCGAATGAGATTCTGCCGTTGCTCCCCGCCGTAAATGCAAGTAACATCATTTGCGGCCCAATGAGGCTTAGTGCGCCGGGCTTGACACTGCCTCCCTCTCCCTTCCCTCCTCATCCTTCCAGTTCCATCTCACCATCAATCCTTCCCTTCCTGAAAGTTATCCTTTCAGACACAAATCGCATCTTTTCGCATCTTCTCATCAAATCTTGAGAAGTGATCAATCCCGCTTTATCCCAACGTGACTTCAACAGGTCGCATATCAGGCATCAGTCGCGCGTGATATCTCTTTCAAATCGCCAGCTTCACTCTTTACTACCATCGCAACCATGTCTGCCAACCTCGACAAGTCTCTTGACGATCTCGTCAGCGGCCGTCGCCAGAACGTTCGCAACACTCGCCGCCGCGCTGGTGGCCGCCGCGCCGCTACCAAACCCGCTGTCGGAGGCGTGAAGAAATCTACCAAGGCTGCCCCCAAGCCCGCTCATCCCACTCCTATTGTTCAAGCTTCCAGCAAGATCCTCGTTAGTGGATTGGTACGTTCTGACTATTTGTGTCTCGATCGTGCCGTTCAGTTGCTAACCTTCTCAGCCTGCCGATGTTTCCGAGGCCAATATCAAGGTATGTTGATCTAGAGGCCTTCACTTTGGCTTTCATCGCCATCTCTGTTTTCGAGAAAATCGCGGCGCAAACGAACTCGACTCGCCTTTCGACTTCTCGTCACCTTTTTATTTTCGCACATCGCTGGATCTTCCTCGATGTTCATGGCACAGACAGTCTGCTCCTTCCCAAATGCCTCCGCGAATTGTGGTTGCTGGCGCTTTGCGAGGCCGGAAGTTGAGCTCTGTCGCAGTACGGTGAAAAGATGCACTCGGCAAGCGATGGATCCCACACGGAAATCCGCTTGCCTTGCGTTCTGAGTACTGTGCCTGGGATGCTACATGAGAAATCATCATCCTTGTTTCTTTCAACCCTGTCCATATCTTTCATCTATCCCGCTCTGCGGACCAGAGGGGCATCAGCGAGCGCATCAGTGAAGCAGCGGGAAATTGGTTCAGGGGCAAACAAACAACCTCATTCTCACGAGTCATGTTTGAAACATCTCTCCGTGGATAGCCTACTGCTCTATGGGGTGATTACCCGTCACAGTGGCTCCGAGGGTTTCAGCACCGTGGTTTACATGACATCATAGCTGTCGGCTTCAGAAGATTCACGGCAAGGCCAGTGGACCCCCAACTCACGGGCACAGTGGGCTGGGCTCACGTCGATGGTAGCGACGTGAGCCGATGTTCTTGCTGGGAGGGCTGATTATCCCCATACCCTTTCGGGGGAATTAAATTACGGAATATGCCGGGACGTGAAATACACCTTGGATGGATGTTTGCACCAGGGGACACGGTATCGCATCGCGGTAGGCAAGCATGCGACTTGCCAGACGGAGGTGCGCGTTTTACAACAACGTTACAGATGATGGAAATGGTGTATGACACGTCTCGGGAGTTGGGATGAAAGGACGACGGATAACTGCTGATGCTCGCTGATGCTCTTTCGCTGTTGGTCTTTCGCTGTTGGAACACTCGCTGTCTTCGTTTGCGCCACCGCCATTGTTTTCTTACGACACTCGAAAACAGTTCTCGTCGCTCAAACCTTATGACGCAAAAATACTGATCGTGTCTATTTGCGCTTTAGGAATACTTCACCAAATCCGCTGGCAGCGTCAAGCGGGTCATGCTCACTTACAACCAGAACGGCAGCAGCCGTGGTATCGCCACCATCATCTTTGGCAAGGCAGACACCGCTGCCAAGGCCGCCAAGGATCTTAATGGCCTCCTCGTTGATGGTCGTCCCATGAAGGTAAACTTCAGTACTTTAATCCAATCTTGCAGCATCAACTAATCCGCGCAACAGATCGAGGTCGTTTACGATGCCTCTCACGCTCCTACCGCTCCTGCTGCTAAGCCTCTGACGGAGCGCGTTGCGTAAGTTCATACCCAATTCTCAGCGAGTCTCTTTACTCATTCCTCCATAGTCAGAAGGCCCGCCCGAAGTCCGCCGCTGCCACAAAGGCCAAGAGCAACCAGACCAACACCCAGGCTAATGAGGCTAACAATGACAATGCCAAGGGCCGTGGCAAGGGCGCCGCCCGCCGTCGTGGTCGCAACCCCGGCCGTGGAAAGCCCAAGACCGTTGAGGAGCTCGACGCTGATATGATGGATTACTTCGCTACCGATGCTCCTCCCGCCGAGAACGCTGCCCCCGTGAACGGTGCTCCCCCCCAGGCCAACGGTGGAGATCTGGCGATGAACGACGAGATCTCGTAAGAGACTCAGTCGCCACTCTCACTTCGCTTTATCGCTGCTTCTGCATGATACAGGTTCGCAGTTATTCCCGGGGGGTTTTGATGGTTGATGCGCGGGTCATATCTTCTATTATCCTCCTTCCTTGATTCTTTTCGATTGTTGTTTCTTTTTCTTTTTTTCTTTTGCTAGTACCGAGCTTAATTTTTTGACTATTACGCGGCAGCTGATGGAGGGAAGCATGTACCTACAATCACAACATGGAACATTACAAATGGGCAATTGATCTTGCAGCACATACTTCGTACAGCCTATCGAGGCCAATTGCTTTTGGTTCAAGTTCCCTCCCAACAAGTCAACAAAAATGAACCTCCGACTCCTATTGCTAAATGAAAAAGCCAAGGCAAAAAGCAAATCCCACGCCCTATGTTCAAGGAACCAATAAAACACCCAATGCCCCGAGATGTATATCCCATTCAAAACACACCAGCCCTCGTCATGACATCATGAAACTGCTCCAGAGTTACACCAGCACTCAACCCAGCACCTCCATTCCCCTCGAGAATCATATCCTTCAGCAAATCATCCCCAACACTATCCTCCTTCAAGTCGCGTGCAATGCGCCGCAGATGCGACAGCGTAATCGGTCCATCCGTGCCATGCGTAAACAACTGATACGCATCATCCACCTCGGCAGCCATGGCATCATCGTCGCGGGAGCGCAGTTTGGCCGCTGCTATTGAGACAAACGGGCCATAGGGTATAAATCCGCAGGTGGTTGGATCCAGCGCAGAGAGAATTTCGGCAAGCTCGCTTGAGTCGGTGGGTGGGAGGCCGAGGGCTCTGTGCAGAGGTATTTGTTAGTGTCGGTCATGAGGGGTAATGAATGCTGTTCATGTAGTAGATTGCATGTGGAAATCGGAAATCGGTATCGCGCGGAGGAGTTGGAGAGAGCGGCTTACACCAGTGCCTTGCGCACGTCTTCCCGTGGAATGACGCCTTCTTTCTCGTCGGGGAAGGCCTCGTTCGCGGCTGCAAATAGTTGGAAGACTTCTTTTATTTCGTTTTCTTCTTCTGCGGTTATGTTGTTCTCTTTCGCGAGCTTGGATGCGCGCCCGCGCTTTGGTGGTGCGGAGGTGTTGGCGGGTGCGCCACGCCTCTTGGGGGGCTATGGCGGTGGGGTTAGTTTGAGATAAGAATTCCGAGGATTGTCAGACAGCTTACCATCTCGATGGATAATACAGGATTTGTAGCTTTGGGGGTTAAGGTATGTGCATATCTTGATGAGATTGGGATTTGGGTTGGAGTGGAGGTGGGGAGGCAGGCTCCGATTGGAGAATGCTTGACCATGGGCAATGGACAATGAATCATGCCCGCTCCGTTACCTTCACTTGTTTTGTATGAAGGAACACAAACTACATGGATAGTCAGAGTCTCTGTGTTGAATAGTAGCATATTATGACCAATTATTGCTAGAAAGCTAAGCGTTGGAGACATCCTCAGAATACTGGTATCCGATATCAATATCTGATACTCTATGCGTACTCCAAAAAACAGTATTCATATTTGATAGAGTTGTATTTCTGTCAACATTTTCCTAATACCTCCTTCCTAACTCTATAACCATTCTCCATAGCGATGGACCCCCCCGCGAAGCTCGTCACCGCCAGAGCCTCTAGCGATTGTACCAACAAGCCCAAGACTACAGATCTGCCATCCTCCCCCGAAGACCTGTCTAACGGTAAAGCCACAAGTGTTTGAGTTTAATCTGATTTTCATTACAATAGCTCAAATATCGTGCAATAAGATGTGAGTGTTATGGAAAATGATCGAAAGCGATAGTAGGGCTCGAAGGCTGCGCGTGACAATGCTGACGTGATCAGATTGCAGCCTGCACAGGTAAACTTCTTTATCTTGTTGACATCTCCAAGATTACGCACTCGTACTTTACACAATATTTTACTTCTACATCATTTAAAATGGACGTTCAGCTATATGTCTATGACCTGTCAAAGGTGGGGTCCCTATACGCCTTTACTGCTTGTGGATAATAACTGACCGTGAATGTAGGGTCTGGCACGAATGGTATGTGTAACTAGCAACTCAAAAAGAGCAGGCCCTGATCTTGATAGTACTCCACTGCTTTGACAGGTACGCAGATGGATGCCATCTATCATACATCCATCGTGCTCAACGGCGTTGAATATTACTTCGGCCAAGGTATCCAGACTGCAGTTCCAGGCACAACCCATCATGGCCAGCCCATGGAAGTCGAAACATTGGGTACTACTGAACTACCTAATGAGGTTGTTGAAGAATACCTGGGCTCGCTGGCTAGCATCTACACCCCTGAGGTTTGTCCACCAAGATGCACTGCCCTCTACAACGAATAAATCTGACCAAATTCAGTCATATGATCTCTTTCTTCACAATTGCAACAACTTTACACAGGATCTTTCGATGTTCCTTGTTGGCAAATCTATTCCAGAGCACATCCGCAATTTACCTCAAACGTTTCTTGAAACTCCATTTGGGCAGATGATGAAACCCCAAATCGAGATGGCTCTCAAAGGCGTCACCCAGGGCACCGGCCAAATGGGAGTTCCTGGTCCAAGTGCTCAACCATCAACAGTGAGGGCTCCCCATGCTGCAACCCAACCAATTGCCCGACCAGCTCACCCCCATCGCCAACTACGACTTCCCAGCCTCCAGCGCGATATCAAGAACTTTGTCATGTACAAGAAAGTTCCGCCGCTTGAAAAGCTCATCCAGAAACTACCAGCTGAATTCCAAGAAGCACAAAGCGTTGCACAGATTATTGAGTTTGTCAAGCTTCGTCACTCTGCGACACCGGTAGCCGATATCCGTGTCCCCGACTTGCATTCATTCGCAACGACCTTGAAGCTCAAATACTCGACACTACCTAGCGGCAGTCATTTCGCAGTGGTGGATTTGGTTCGTCTACTACTGCTTGACCCACGTGTGAGCGGCTACTTCGCCGAAGAAACGCAACACGAAACTCTCCTCACCCTGCTTGAACCGCTCTCCCAAGATGATACCGCCTCGTGCCCATACAAACTACGTATCGTGGCTCTGCAACTGGCCTGCAATCTCTTCAGCACTCCTCTCTACCCAGACCAACTCACCTCATCTTCGTCCCCACTACGCGAGACCTGTCTCCGCCTCGCAACCAACTCCCTTCTAGACTCACAGACCAGCCTCCGTGTCGTTGCAGCATCCTTTGCATATAACCTTGCATCATTCAACCACAACTCACGCTTCAAAAATAAGCCTGATCCTATCTCTGAAGAAGATCAGGTCGAGCTGACAGCCTCCCTGCTTGAGGCGGTCATTCGCGAGGAGGAGAGTGTTGAAGCATTGCATGGGCTGTTGTTCGCACTCGGGCTGCTTGTCTATGAAGCCCCGATGGACGGATCTCTGATTGATCTCTGTCGTGCCATGGGTGTGGCGGAGACGATTTCTGAGAAGATGAACATCCATGCTGTACAAAAAGAGCCTCTACTAAAAGAGATCGGAGAAGAGTTGTTTAGAAAGGGTCTTTGATTTTACGAAGAGAATAATGTCTAATAGAGGATACAGGGTCTACTATCAAGTACTTGAACAGTGTACATATCATTTCCTCACACTCTATCGAGAGCATACTGCTTCTAATATTGTTTCAATCTAATAAACTCATTCTTTTTTTCTATTTTCTCAGCCCTTTTGATGTACGACGATTCAAAAATCAACTGTTCAGTATTGTTGCACATCAGCCTTTTGACTTATTGATCCTAGTACGTCTTACTGGGCGGTACTGTTTGTACACCAAGCTGAAAGACTACAAATCCCACTTAGGACATTATCGCTATGGCACCGTTCATTGGTACAAAAGGTATATCAACTAAAAGATACGAGTCCAGTGTCATGAAACCGCTAATTGATGCAGGTGATATGTTCGAACAGGCTGCGACAGAGACAACGCATGAAGAGCCTTTATTAACATCTAAGAGTACGCATCCTATGATCAAGCCTCGCTCTTCGGAAACCAGGATCCTCCGCGAATAGTATCCCTCAATATTGTGAAGCTATATGCAAATCTGACGTGGCACAGAGCTGCGAGAACTTGGTGAATAATGCTTAACACTTCACCATTGACCATAACAGACAATATTCTGAAAGCATGGTCCTGAGAAATGCCTTTTCTGCTCTCGCATACTTCTGTGTGTTTGCAGCCTGTATGTGGAGGTCTAGGCCGTGATGAGAGGGCCTATTGTTAACAGTGCAGTGACTATGGCCCATCCTCATGCCTTAGACGGTGGTGACACGCCCACGATTCTTGGCTATCTGGCAAACAAATGCAGCAGTGAGATTGGCGAGATGAAACAACGGGCGACAGCTTTTTCACTGTCAAATCCACTCTAGTCGTGATGAGGAGGGGACCTTCTATAGCATGCATACGGAGTCTCCCAAGTACAATTTTCTCAGGAATTGGACCAATGTACTTCTTCCAAAGGCCACTACCGGACTGTTCATTTACTCCCAACGCCAGACTCTTCGCCAAAACATACGGATGACCAGGCTGGTATACCTCTGTCTTTGGAAATAGGTGTCATTGATGTTGACGTCTGCGAGCCGTTGGAAGGTGTCTTGGTTGATATCTGGGTGAGTGGTTTATGCGAGATCTATTTAAATTTGGTTAATCCCCGGAAACAAACTAAAACGCATTTCCAAATTAGCATTGCAATGCTACTGGTTCATATAGCTCATTTACCAGGATCCTGCCTGATATAACATTCGAGGATCAATATAGAATCTAAGTGGTGGGAAACACTTGGATATCCACAAAGGTCTCCCCGATCTCACAGTATGTGATATCTTGTAAGCATGGCACTAGTGCTATACTGAGGGTTAAGCCCAGTGGCTTTCGACCGACCAGGAAACCTGGCTTCGGGGCATGTGGCCCACAGATAACCATGGCGTCACCTTGTTCACTACTATCTTCCCTGGATTTTATGTATGCATAGTCCTCAACTCCCAACATAAACCGACAAAATACCTAATACTTGCTCCATAGGCCGAGCGTTCAATTCACATCCACGTTCAAGTCCACACCAACTGGACAGTCAGGGCCAACAGTACACTTTTCCATGGACCGAACCAAACCGGGAGGACTAAAGAACATTCCTTATACTAGCATAGGCCTACTATGAACATTTCTAGATGTTAATAGATAGACATCGCACAAAGTCTTTGACAATGTTCAAAATGGCAAATGCCCAGGCCTGGCTTAGGGCTAACGACGAGCGAAAGCAGCTTGTCCTAATCACACGTAGCAGCTTAGCAGATGCTCAACCCAGTGAATTAGGAGGTAGGTCGCGTGCCTACTTGCCAGCTTCCTTTTGATATTCGATTGCAGGATCTCATTTCCAGTCCCTCACTCTCATCCTTTATGACCACCCGTCTCCGGGGAATCGAATCCCTTCGCACCAGATCTTCGAATCCCATAACAGCAACCCAACATCTGATATCAGATATCAATCCAACATGCCCATCGAAACCAAGTCTCGCAGAAGAAGATGGATCCACACGGGGGACCCCATCACAAACATTGCAGATGTGCCCGAAGGCTGGAGCTCCTATGAGCCAGATCTGCACAAAGAGTATGGTTACACCTTCCTTCAGAATCCAAACGCCTAACCGCATGTTTCTAATTCTTTAATACCCAAAACAGTGATGTGGACGGCCAAATTGCGCGCTGCCGTGAAAGAATCAGAGATGCAATCATGCCCGATATCTTTCGCCACAGACTGGCGCAATTTCTCCAGCGTCGAAGGTTCGAATATTCGCGACGTTAATGAAGATACAATTAACTGACAACATGCAGCCAGATGATTGCATCCGAGCAAGCTGGCCTACCATGGCCAGTCGTCCAACGCTTATCATTCCTCAAGGCGACCAAGTACTCGCTTGAGCTCAATGGCGACCACGACGAGCAAATGCCAAACATCAACGGCCTCATGGAGGCCTACCAATCTGGCAAGAAATTCGAGAAGGGGGCGATAAGCTACTGGTACCAGGGGGCTCAGATCTACCCTGAGAAGGATGGCGACAAACTTGACTACTGGCAGGCGACACACCTGCAGAGCCGTTTCACCGGCGCCTCGAGCTTCTGGGTTGAAGGGGTATGATCTCACATTATGCTCTATTATACGTTCAGAAAGTGATAATAACTACCTCTATAGCTTGACGTGCCCTGGTCGGCCGAAGTCAGCCTACACTGACGGATCCTTGGCCACTCACAATCGCCTGCCTTCCCTCACCTCTCGCGTTCGGCCTTGTGATTTGTCTTCTCGAGGGGAGGTGGGAGAGGGGGCTGAGGATCAATGCGAATACAATGGGCGGGAAGTAACGGAAAAATAAGAAATTTTTTAAAAAAGAGTGAATGCAGGGAGACATGGGTGGGAACCAATATCAATCGGTCCAGTTACTTCGCGCCGCAAAATTGAATAACTTGATCATATTATATTCGCGATAAATCCTAGGACACAAATCCGCGTAACAGCAAGCCAGCGCTGCCTAGAAGTACTATTAACAACGAGTCTGTGAATCAAACCAGCCCTGGGGACATCAATGTACGATACAGAGCTAGATGGGAAATTACAGCCTCCTCAATTCAAAAAGATACTCCCTTCCGCCACGAAGGCAGCCTGTCCAGCAAGCTTGATAGTGGAGACCCGTTTCCTATCTTCATCCAACAGCACATCAACAATGAGGTGGCTCTCCCTATCCATCTCAATGCCCTGATCGATATAGAACCGGTGGCTCCGACCCTGCTGACCGTTCAACAACGCGAGGTAAACACCCAAGGAGCTCCCTCCGCTACCACAAGCTGGATCTTCCAAATCGATAGCGATCATTCGCACCCGAAGATCCCAGATCACTGTGTCTCCTTCGACGCGAGACCCGCCATTCCGGTAGTACATAACCCCGGTGAATGAGGGCTTCCATCCCTCATCAAGATCAAGAGCAGGACTTCCCCCCGGAACAATATTGGCAAACAGATCGGCTCTCTCGGTCAGGTCAACTAGTGCATACGTGACACCCTTTACCACAGAGACTATCGGTGATGTCTCTGGTACACCATGGAGGTCCGAGACCGTCTTTAGGCTGGCTTGGACTGGGAGGATATGGGCTAGCGTTGCCCCCTGCTGATGCTGATGGATATTGTGAGGGACCTCGGCGGATACAACCTCATTTTCTGGATCATATATGATTGGAACAGGCCCTGCGTTGGTGGTAATGGTGAGAGACTTTGGATGACTTGGGTCGTTTCCTAACAATTGGCGGAACAGGAAATGGCCGGCGCCAATGACGGGATGGCCGGCGAAGTCCATCTCATTGACGGGAGTGAAAATGTACAACCGAGGAGGCTCATCTCCATTAGCCGGATGGAAGAAGACGGTTTCGGAAAAGTTGAACTCTTTGGCGATCTTTTGCTTCTGTTCTTGTGACAGCTTGCTATCGGTGACCTTCACAATTGCAACGGGGTTTCCTTTGAATCTGTTTCCTTGTGTTAACTGACCATTTCTATATTCAGACTTTGATGGAGGAAGCTGTACCTCTTGGATGAGAATACATCGAGAGTCACTGGCGATGAGTCAGTATACGCCGTTGCTCACTGGACAGGCTTTGATGATGAGTTTCTTACCGTAGGGTGCCTTTTCCTCGGACATGATGCTGATATGATCGAATGCCAAAATAAGCAACAAATCCCTCGCAGCTTATATAGTAGCAAACCCAATTTGATATCAGCAGTCAATATCGTTCGGCTAATCTCGGTACTTTTAACACGTCATACGGGGAGCGACGTTTCAACTCCGCGGATTTCTCTCTTTCGCTGGCCTTAAACGCATAAACGGACCCTCTCCATGTCCATGTGGAGCAATATTCCTTATATGACTGGCGAAGCGATGTCCCGTCCTCTCAATCCCCGAGATCCATCTCGGCTAACCTCGGACATCATCGCTTTTCCTGGGCGGGTTTGGCGGTTTCCGCGGTTATCGCGGGAAAATAGTATACGCGTTTACGATCCGATGAATTGATCCTTCAACACATATCCCGACCCCGCACCACCTGCATTTGATCATGGCCGAAGAACACCACATTGTCGCGATTGAGGCTGTCCATTGCCCAATCCCGCAATTTGATCTGCCAGGGCCACATACCCGGGAAGTTCACCGATGGACCAACCCTTCTGACCTCCCCAGTCGCCTCAAAGATGCCACAATTGTCGTGACCACCACAATTAAACTCTCGGCAGAGACACTCAGTGCCGAAGTCACCCCGAAACTTCGTCTCATTGTGATTATGGCGACCGGCACAGATTGTGTCGATATCGCGGCCGCCTCGGCCCGTGGAATTACCGTTTGCAATTGTCCTGGCTCGAATATCGATAGTGTCAGTGAGCATGCTATTGGTCTTTACTTTGCTTCCCGGCGGAAGTTCATCGAGTTGCATAATAATACCATTGCGGTGCCTGATGATCCATCCCTTGATACTGAGTGGAAAACGAACGGGTCGTTACTCAGTCGAGTCCGTTCGCCAAGTGGCAAGGCCCCGTCACTGTGTAGTGATGAGACTGTAGGCATTATTGGATATGGAATGTTGGGGAAGCGCATTGAGACTCTTGCCAAAGCGCTTGGTATGAACGTCATCATAGCCGAGCGCAAGGGCGTCTTCCCTCGAGCGGGTCGGGTGGGATTCGAAGACGCTCTGAAGCAATCGACCGTGCTTATTTTATGTCTTCCACGGAGCGTCGAAACACTAAATATGCTTTCCACTGCCGAGTTTGAGATGATGTCCTCTCATGCTCTGCTGATCAATGTCGCCAGAGGTGGGATTGTCGATGAACACGCTCTGTTGGATGCCCTCAAACGGAATGAAATCGCGGGAGCCGCCACGGATGTTTATGTCAAAGAGCCTGCTGGACGAGGAGACTCGCCTTTGCTAAGCCCGGAAGCGGCGTCGTTGAACCTAGTCTTGACCCCTCATCTTGCGTGGTATGCCGAAAGGACACTGCACAATCTTGAGGCTTCTTGCAAGATCACAGTCGAGAAATGGTGTATTGGTCAGACTATCAACAAGGTGGAATGATGGTTGAATGCGGTATAGAAATGTGGCCCTGGTTGATATTTTTTACGTATAGATTAGTTAGATTATCTGGAGAATACTGACGAAGTGTTCTAGCTACCCCTAAACTGTTGTATATCGTGGATAATGTCTGCAAATCATTTCAATTTATAACTAACAGCAAATGAATGTCAGCCACAGAACCCTGGCACTCCACTGCCGGCCTTTCAAGAGAGCCCCACAACTTCATAGTTCCAGTTGCAGGTAGCATTGGGGCTCTGTGCCAAAACACTCTTGGTCCCAGTCGCCGATGAAACAATGTTATTGGAACCATCAACAATCTGAATCATCTGCCCACTCCCAACAGCTAGTCCCGAGACACTATTATAATTCAGACCCTTCTGACCAACATAACTTCCAATCAGTTTGCTGTTGCTATAAACCTCGATGGTATAACCAGTAGAAGGCAAGATAACAGCAAAGTTGATCGCATCACGAGCGGATTGGTAATTAGCAATCGAAGAAGAGCAGCTAGCAGTAGTCAAGAGAGTGCGGTACCAAAACGCACCAACAGGCTTAGAGCTTGGTGGAACAATCTGAGATAGACTCGTCGCACCAGCCTTGTATGCTTTAATAAATGGCGCAATGACCTGCAGCCAACCCTTGTGGTCGTACCCGTTGGCATAGTCGCCAATATTGCTGCCTGCAATCTGTTCTTGCCAAAAGTCACCGACATAGTGACTCTCCCCAGCGTCATTCCAGGTAATAATTTCCACAAAGTCGGGCTGAAGCTGTAAGGCTTGGGCCATGCGCTCTGGCAGGTTAACTTCGCCGATGCGGTACCAGTTCTGGCCGCTGCCCATATACTTGAATTGTAACGGGGACATCGCTGTTTTCAATCGGTTAGCTGTTTATTCCTCGTTATAGATATGTTCGAATTACTCACCCATCATGTAGGCCTTTCCAGCTGCATGAGCTTGCTGCAAAGCAGCAGAATCAACCTGACTGGTGACGTTGGTGGGAGCAGTACCTGGCGATGGCCACGCAGACTCCCAGCTAAAGACACCATTGAGAATTGGATAAGCGCTGAAAACTCCATTGGGATAGCCAGAGAAGTCATCAAAGTCGGGAACAAAGAACGGCTTGATCCCATGTGTCGAGGTTAGAGGCTGAATGAACCCAGAATCCCATTGCGCGTTGGAGATAGTGCCACCAGTAAAGGTGCTAACGAAAGCTTGGCCATTGACCTTGTAGTATGCGTCTTGATTGGCATATGGTGCCAAAAAGTCCGCAAGCTTCGTAACATCCAAGCCCCAACTCATGTCAAATGAGATAAATAACTTGAAGCTGGTTCCAGATGCAGCCGCAAATAAATAGTTTAGCGCATTGATATTCCAAGTATCCGATGCGCTGATTGTATGGGTGTTGAGGGCGAAACCGTCGAACCCTGCGTTCATAGCATCTCTCACATCAATGACGGCTTCTTCTGAAGTCATGGAGCCGACCTATCTGTTGTTAGTTTCTGGTCAATTCATGGATTTGGAACTTTGAAGATTACCATGTAGTGCGCAAACACGGCCTTGGTGCTACTTGGCTGTGTCGCAGTAGCTGTAGTAGACTTAGTAGATGTCATGGTAGCGGTGGCAGTAGGGCCTAGGCCTTTTGTTAGCCACTGAAGCTGTTCCATTGAGCCTGGGAATAATACCTCCAATGGTAGTGCTTGTGGTAGTGGTAGTAGCGGCAGTTCCAGTTCCGGCAGATACCTAGTACGGAGAAATTAGTATCTTGTTTCACAGCACCGTTTCTCTGGTAACATACAAGTCTCGCAGTAGTAGCAGAGCCTGCTTGACCTGAGGCAACGCAAGACCCAGCAACAGTGCCAGTAGACTGATAAATACCAATAAGTCCAACTTGACAACAGAAGTCATTACCCGCTAGTCCTTGCCAAAGTGACCAGCTTGAGTCGGCGCATTTGGGAGAGCTCTCAACGGCACCAACACAGACCGAACCTGTTTAAGAGTGTCAGTTTGTAATTCAAGGAGGTCAATTAAATCCGAGGATAGGTCCTTACTTGAAGTGCAGCACGAAGCGACTTCGGCGGTCTTCGCACTGAAGCAGTGAAGGCTGCTTGGGCAGCAGGCTCCAGCGCCACAGGACTGGGATCCGCTAGGGCATGTGCTAGCCTGAAGAGACCAGCCTTGAGCAATGGAGCGCTTGGATATCGCTGCTGCAGAGCTGACGAGAGGGTGATAAAGCGCCAGAAGCAATAGAGTAGAATAATGCATGATCAAAGGATTCCAATACAATGATTGACTTCTGTAGAAGTTTTGATAACCCATTCAATTTGCAGTATCCTACAAGACATATATATATGCTATTCCTTGCATACTGACGGTAGTGACGTTTAGAGCATGACGTTTAGAGCATGAAGACACACCCTCCTCTCCACCC